AAAAAACTAGCTGGGCGAGGTGGCAGTCGCCTGTAGTCCCAGCTGCTCGGGAGGCTAAGGCAGGAGAATGGCGTAAATCTGGGAGGCGGAGCTTGCAGTGAGCTGAGATGCGGCCACTGCACTCCAGCCTGGGCAACAGAGCCAGACTCCATCTCAAAAAAAAAAAAAAAAGAAAAAGAAAAATTATCACAATTAATCACAGATTTATAATGTACTTGCATGCATTTAAAACTGAAACCGGCACCTCTCTTTAAGATAAATGTCCATGACAGTTCTGGGAAATTAAACATGCATCTTGTGTGGCGTGTATGACATAAAAGGATCTCACATTTCGTATGTTTTGGTCAGCATAAAGATGTTCTGGGAAGAGCAGCACTGTGTCAGGTAGGATAGCTCACTCTGTCTCTCTGGGCACCCACCGATCTGCAGCTGCAAGCATTGCGATTCCCAATCCACACGTGTTGAGCACCTCGTATGCTTCACTTACGTGATCAATGTACATATTCAAGATGGTCACAGGGTCCCGAGGGAGGGGTCTTGGAAGACCTGTGTTCATTCACAATCCAAGGCCATCTCTGAGAAAGGGTGGCGAGGGTTCTACCTCACAGGGTGGTGGTGAGCATTGAGCAAGTTGATGAGTGTCAAAGTGCCCAGCATGCAGTAAGCGCTGCAGAAACATTAACCACCACCATTTCTGTTTACTGGCAGACGTGGCACTGCCCCGGAGCATGAAGCAAGCACAATTTGCAATTCCTCTGACTCACAAGCCTAGATACCGCAACACTGGAGAAGTTCGCTCTTTTTAAAATAGGGAATTCCCATGAGTTCCATTTTCTCACTATAAAGCGTGATTTGTTTTCTCAGAGACAGTCTCGCTCTGTCACCCAGGGTGGAGTGCAGTGGTGCTTACTGCAACCTTGACCTCCCAGGATCAAGTGATCCTCCCACCTCAGCCTCCTGAGTAGCTGGGACTACAGTTACAAACTACCATGCCTGGTCAATCTTTTAAAATGTATTTTCTGTAGAGACAGGAGGCAGAGAAGGGGGCAGGTCTCACAATGTTGCTCAGGTTGGTCTTGAACTCCTGACCTCAAGTGATGCTGCTACCTTGGCCTCCCAAAGTGCTGGGATATAAGCCACCATGCCCAGCTGAAAGTGTGATTTTTCTAAAAGTGATACACTGGCAGGAGTCAAATTTGTGTAAAATGTGATTGTTACCCTAAATGAGAGAACCATGTCTACTGCCTGGCGTGGACAGGGCATCAGAAATGTCCATGTTCATGGTCACTAGGCCCAGAAATGTCATGCGAGCCACAAATATAAGTTGAAGTTTTCTACAGCCAGATTTTTAAAAATTAAAATTTTATTTTATTTTATTTTTTCCTTTTTAAAAAATCATTTATTTTTATTTCCCTTCTAAATTTATTTTTAGTTTCTATTTTTTAAAATTGTATTTATTTATTTATTTTTTTGAGACAGAGTTTTGCTCTTGTCACCCAGGCTGGAGTACAGTGGTACGATCTCCACTCACCACAACCTCTGCCTCCCGGGTTCAAGTGATTCTCCTGTCTCAGCCTCCTGAGTAGCTGGGATTACAGGCATGTGCCACTACGCCTGACTAATTTTTGTATTTTTTAGTAGAGACACGGTTTCACCATGTTGGTCAGGCTGGTCTTGAACTCCCGACCTCAGGTCATCCATCCACTTCGGCCTCCCAAAGTACTGAGATTTCAGGTGTGAGCCACCGCGCCCGGCCTATTTTTCATTTAAAAAAATTTTTTTTACAGTCAGGTTTTTAAAAGTAAGAAGAAACAAGTGAATTAATTTCAAGATGTATTTATTTTACCCAATATATCAAAATTATTAACATATAATAAATAAAAAATTATTAATGAGATACTTTACATTCTTTTTTTTGTACTAAGCCTTCACATCTCAGTGAGGATTTTACTCTTAGAGCACATCTCAGCTATGACTCCATCTGTGCTCAACAGCCGTCTGTGGCTCAGAGCTACCGTATCCAAACATGCAGAGACAGAATGCTCCCATCACTGCAGTACAGGAAAGGCTGGTGCTCACACCTGCATTCCTCAGTGCTTAGCCCAGTGCCTCCTGGCACACAGTAGGAGTGTCATGCACAGTGAGTGAATGGCTGCATGCCTGGCGTGCCATACTTTATGTAGTAGGAAGTAAAAGTGTCTGTCAGCACCATAAGACAGGGCAAAAACAAAAAAACAAAAAAAAGAAAAGAAAAGCATCAGGACATAGTTCCTATGACCGAGTTGACAAGGGGAGACTGGACACACAATTACATTCCGAAGCCACATACTAAGAAGCTATTAGGAGATACAGAAAGTAGAATGGTGGTTGCCAAGGGTTGGGGGAAGGGGGAATGAGGAGTTAGTGTTCAACGGGTGTAGCGTTTCAGATGAAATGAGTTATGGAGGTGGATGATGGTGAGGGTTGCACAAC